GCCGCCTGACAGCGTGCAGGCAGGCGCCCCCGGCCAAAATGCGTCCTTCCCATATTCTGGGCCAGCTCGATGATGCAACACGTCGGCCACACTCACGGCCTCAACCTGGTAGCGCAGACTGGGCAGCTCGGGGCATCTTCCATGTCCTACATGCCGCGTTGCTTACGGCTTCCATCAGACGTTGAGGACGCCGCTGTGCTGAAGCAAATGATGCCGCACTACCGTCTCATCAAGTCCACCCACGACTTGACTCTGATGCAGCTCCTCACGCTGCTGCTGCCGCGTGGTGAAGCTGACGTAAGTCGCCAAGCTGCCTCTCCGTGGTTCCCGGCTTCCTCTGCAGGGCGCTGATCCTACATATGGCCTCGCGCATTTCTGCGAGCCACCATCTCGGCCACCACCCCCACCGCTCCGTCACGTGTGCTCGCCGACACCGTGTGCCCCTTGCGCTCTCTCTCTCTCTCTTGGCCTTTCCGGGGTGAGGCGTCGGCAACTCCCTCCTCGCCGGTGCTGCCCACCCGCCCTCTGCCACGGGCGTCCCCGGGTCGCCGCGCAGCCCTCCGCCTGCGCTCTGCACGAGGCCGCCGCGCGGCCCTCTGCCTGCCCGGGCCGGCGGGCTGCAGCCCTGGAGGCGGCGCCAGGATTGCCGAGCAAGTGCGCAAGCTTCAAAACGGGCATGTCCCCCTGCAGGCGGATTTGGGAGGAGAGACAAAACATTGCCAGAACAGAAACGAAAAGACAGGCCAAACCAGTCGAACCGTCGTCCCCAGGCTATTTTTGCTTACTGCTTTTGAATGTATATATATATATATATATACATACATATGTACATATGTATATATACATATATACATATGTATGTATATATATATATATATATATATATTCCGCCTGCAGAGCGACATGCCCGACTGCAGCGCAACCCCGCGCTGCACGTCCCGCACCACGCAAAACAGGCGACTCAGGCGCCCCGCAGGGGTGGGGAGAGCTGCGGCGAGACGGGCGGGCGAGCGGCCTCTCCCGGTGCACAAGCTCCAGAAGATGCATCTCCCGCTCGGGGCGAGGAAGGATACGTGCTCGGGCGGCCTGGGATCGCTGGCGGCACGTGCGTCGACATCGGGCGAAGCATAGAGGGCAGCTCCTCCCTTTTTGACAGTCAGAACGATGCACCTCTCTCGGGGCGAAGAATGAGACGTGCTGGGGCGGCCCGAACTCACTGGAGGCACGTGCGTCGACACCAAGCGAAGCACACAAAGGGTAGCCCCACCCCCCCTATTCGACAGTCCTGGAGAACCCGCCAACATCCCGAACCGCTGCGCGCCAACCCCGCCAGGCCTCCGCGCGCAACGCGCCGCCTCGCCAGCCGCAGCCGCCGCCGCAGGCCCCCTCTGGCCCGAAGGGGGGCGAGCCGCCGCCGCACAGCACGAGGGCCCTACCCCCGTGGAGAGGCTTCCCAGATGGGGTCCGAGTGTAGAGGGGGTCGAAGGATCGCGCCGCATCGCCAATGCATCGCCGATGCATATGCGACGCATCAGCGACGCATCGGCGTGGAGAGATTCTGGCCCCGCGTCGAGCTACCTCGCCGACGCACCGGCGGTGCTGCGCCATCCTCCGACCCCACCCGCACGGACCCCATCTGGGAATCCCAGCCCCCCCCCCCCCGACCCCCTCGGCGGGCGACCAGCGCCGCTGGCAAGGGGGAGGCGGGCCCGGCAGCTCCTGCGCCGCTCTCGGGGCCCTGGGGCCCTCCGCGGCCCCCCGGGAAGCGCCCACGAGAAGGCCCCGCCCTGGCCCGGGGGAAGGCCCCGCCCTGGCCCCGGAGCCCGCGCTCCCCCCCCCCCCAGGACTCCACTTGACCCTCGTGGGCGCCGGCCCCCTGCCGGCCAGCGCTGCCCTGCATGTGCGAGGGGAGGCGGGCAGCTGCCGGGCCGCCCGCTCCCGGCGCACGCCCCGTGCGAGGGGAGGCCCCCCTGTGGCGATCCCTCCGTCGTGGGCAGCTGCCGGGCCGCCCCCGGCCGGCGCACGCCAGAGCGACCTCTGGCCCGCGCGGCCCCGTGCGAGGGGAGGCCCCCAGGCGTGCAGCGCCGCCTCCGCCCTGCCACCCCCCGGCCTCTGCCAGGCCTCCGGCCGGGCCCAGCCTCCACCCGCGGGCCCGGCGCGGTGCGGTGCGGCGGCTGCCGCGCGCGGCCTGGCGCGGCTGAACTGTGCGCCGCCAGCGCGGAGTGGACCCTCCTCCTCGTCCTCCTCCTCCTCCTCCTCATCCTCCTCCTCCTCCTCCTCCTCCTCCTTCTCCTCCTCCCCCTCCTCCTCCCCCTCCTGGGCGGAGGCGGTGGCCGGGGGGAGGAGGGTGGCGATGGGGCCGAGGAGGAGAAGGGGCAGGGGGAAAGGCGGCAGGGAGAGGGATGGGGAGGAGGGGGAAAGGGAGGAGGGAGAGGATGGAGATGGAGGGAGATGGGGAATGTGGAGAAAGAGGGCAAGGGGGACCGACGAGGAGGGGGAGGAGACAAGCTAATTAGGTGCGCTCGCGTCATATCTGACGTTCTACCCCTCCGTCCCATCCCTTGTCATGGCGTAGATCTTCTCTCTATTCGCACAATCGAATGTCGTAGCATGGCATAGCATTACACAGCATAGTATGATGATGAAGATCAACGCGTAGCGTGATATAGCATGGCGTGGCGACGCCCCAAAGTGGGGGGGGGTGCGGCCCCAAAAAATCAACGAATCGACATCGACACCGAATGTGTAATCACTTCTGATGGTTGTTTCGGAGGGGCATGTTTCAGATTTGGGGGCCTATTTGGCAGGACCGAAAACCATGCCGTGGCATGGCGCTGGAAATAATGACGCCAACGCTGCAGCGGGAGCACGATTCGGAACGAGCAGAAGCGCGGAAATGAGGCCAGCGCTGCAGTGGGAGCACGATCCGGAACGAGCGGTAGCCCGAAAATGAAGCCAGCGCTTCAGCGAGAGCAGCATTTTGAAAACAACCCAAGCGAAAAACCGTTTCCCGGGAATCCTGTGTAAAAAAACACATAGGCGGAGGGGGGCCGAATACTGTATTTCCCGGACGCCACCAGGGGAGAGAGGAGAGTAGTATTCATATTGTGTAATTGTAGACGAGGGGAAGCACGAGGGCGCTTCTCCGCAAACCGCGATGCGGCCCTAACATTCATATCACTGAGTGGGACCATAACACTGAAGCCATCAGCCGATTTCATGCCGCGGACTTGCAGCACGCCCATCGGGCAAGCAAAAAGTTCGCTAACTCGGCAAGATATTGAAGCTAATGCCCAGTATCAAAGCTGTGATTCGGACTCTGGCCCCATGGAATGTAATTCGCGAACATGATATCCGCCCTGTGGCACAAAGTATAGTGCCTCCAGATCCTTCGCTCAACCTCTGAGCCCCAGTCCTCAATCCCGAGTATTCTCTCAAGGGCCTGGACCCCCCCAAATTCTCAAATCTTCTTGGACTTGGCGCGTGGCCCTTGGGCCCCGGCGCGTCTTGTCCCATGACTTGTTTGGGCCGAAGGGGACCCCAGGACGGACCAGGGGCGCCCAAAGGTAGCCTGGGCGCTCTTGGGCCGCCTTGGGCCGTCTTGGGGTCCTTTGAATCGCTCTTGGGGCTGACTTTTGCCGTCCAGAGCCGAACATGACCGACAACTCTGCCATTCGATCTTGGCCCGCCGAGGCCATACCCCTCACACCTCCCCCTTATCATTTCCCCCGACTAACAGACCGCGGCGCTACGCGCGCTTTCCGTCATCCGCCGCCCCCTATGGCTTGTCACAGGGGTGCCTGTCGAGCTACAAGTCTGGTGTTTTTTGAGGGCTTGTTTCTGGAGAACTCCCCCTGGGGCTTCGGCCCAGCCCGCCAGCCACCCGGAAAGCCCCTCAAAATCCCCCGGGTCAGTGCCTTTCCCGCTGCAAGATGGCCGAAGATGGACTCCAAGACTGCCAAGATGGCCTCAAAGACGACCGATTTGTCCCCAAGAGAGCCCAGGATGGCCCCAAGATGCACCCAAGACGGCCTAAGATGCACCCAAGACAGCCCAAGATGGCTTCAAGGTAGCCCAAGATGGCCCAAGAGGCCTCCAAGACGGCCCGAGAGGCCCCGAATACGTTTTTCATGAAGGCCTGGAGAGGCCAACATACTTGATTCCTCTTGGGTTTTGAAGGATGTTGGCAGCTGCTTGTCTTCGGCCTTCCGACACCCTAAGACGGCCCAAGAGGCCCCAAAGATCGCCCGAAGAGCGCCCAAGAAACTTCCAAGATGGCTCCATGCCGGCCCAAGAGGCCCCTAAGTAAGACGGCCCGAAAAGGGCCCCAAGACGGCCCCAGAGGCCTCCAAGACGCCCAAGATGGCTTCTAAGACGGCAAATGTGGCTCCAAGAGAGCCCCAGATGGCCCCAATATGTCTCCAAGACGGCCCGAGATGCACACAAGACGGCCTACGATGGCCTCAAGATGGCCCAAGAGGCCCCCAAGAGGCCTCCAAGACGGCCCAAGAGGCCTCCAAGAAGAGTCCATACAGCAAGGCCCGAAGAGGCCCAAATCATTGATCCGCCCTAGGTGTTTTAAGACGTTTGCCACTTGCTCTTGGTCGGCCCCAACACGAGATGGCTAAACATAGCCCAAGAGGCCCTCAATATGCTTCCAAGAAGCCTCCCAACCGACCCGCGAGGCCTCCGAGAGAACCTCCAGGAAATCCCGGAACCTCTCCTCTTCCTCTTATTCCTCTTCTTCCTCGTATTATATCGTAATAGGATTAATATGCCGGTTAATCTTACTAATGCGCATGTTACTGCAAGCTTTAGTATAACGAATATGATAAGTATCAGCATCACCATCAGTAACATGATTAACACTACTAGTATTACTAATATTACTAATATTTTTATTATCCTTATCATTACCCATGTTTTTAATCGCCAAAGTGTTTCCCGAGAAGTTTCCCCAACGGTTCGGGGAACACGTGGTCCGATAGCTTGACCAAGCTCTGGGCCCAAAGCTCGGCCACATGAATAGGCGTACCCAAAGAGAACAGGGGGCGGCGGTGATTCGCCATACGCGTCCTCGCTAGATTGATACTACAGAGGCGCCGCGTGCCTTACCATCAACTATTGAGACACGCGGCGTGTAAATTCTTGCTGTCTGTCAGCGGATGACGTCTGCACGTCCGACGAGACCCTTCTGTGGGAGAAGGAACCGCGGGGCTTGTCTAATCTGTACAAAGAGGGGTTGCTCTGATACCGAGAGGACTCGACCAGAGGATGGAACCTCGCAACGCCCTCGACATAGTCAGTCTCCTCTTCAAGGTCCTCCATGGGCTCCTGCACGACCTCAATCGAGGTCGAGCTCGCCTTCTTCGCGAGCGAGTTCTGAGAATCGAGCGAGCACCGCGCCACCACCGACTCGGTCTGCAACATCTCGTCCAGAAAATCTACGGCCACCGAGACGGTATCCTCAAAGAGGGTCTTCTCCATGTACTGCTGGAGAAGGGCCCAAGTGGCAGAAGATCTCTCCGTTGAAGCTTTGCTCCTACTCTTGATCATCGCACTGACCTCGCGCTCGATGAGCTTCAGCGCTTTCCCCATCGCGTTGGCTATGAGGAACGGCACACCACGCTCGGCGTGGGCGATGATCATGGACTGAAGGACCTGCAAGCCCGTCGAGTCAATGAAGGTTACTGCGCTGGCGGAGAAAACCACGGCCCTGATGGGGTTCCCCCTGTCAGTCTCGTCCAACTCCATATGGCTCATCGTCTCCTCGATGCTCTCCGCGTTCGCATAGAACAGCGGCCCGTCAACGCGGACAACCAGCATCCCTGGCCTCGCCTGAGCGTCGGTGCGGTCGGTGCTGAACCAGCGGTCCTTGTTCCCAACGCGGCCCAAAATGTGGACGGGGGGCTCCGCGACCCGGTAGACCAGGATGACCAGAGACACAACGACGGCGAAGCAGATGCCCTTGAGCGCACCGAGCCCTATGGTGGCCAGGAAGGCGACCAGCCACACGGCGAAATCCTTGCGGTGTGACCACTTGGGGAACATCCGGTAGAGCGCTGTTGCCTCCCGGAACTCGGTGAGGTGCGAGGCGGCGTTCAGGATGATGCAGCTGAGCACGCAACGGGGTACGTAAAAGAGGCACGGGCTCAGCGCCAGGAGCGCCATGGATATCACGGCGGCCACGCCCACGTTCGCCCCCAGCTGCGTCTGAATGCCCACCGAGCGCGATATGCCCAGCCTTCGGGGATCCACTGACCCTGGTCAATCCAGACCTGGCCCAGTCGGGCTTGGCAGGATCCTGCAAAATCCTGCAGGATCCTGCAAGATCCTGCGCGCAAGCCAGGGTCACTGCAGGATCCTGCAAAATCCGGTGCTCCGACTGACCCTCGCTTGCATCGACCCCCGTCTCTTGAACCCCGAAGCCTGCTGAGACCGATCTGGACCGGCACCGCGCCGTAGAAGGAGCCCCCCAGATTGGCGAGGCCGAGGGCCAGCAGCTCGCTGGTCGCGTCCAGGGCGTAGCCGTCGACCATGGAGAACTTCTTGGCCCCCGCGAAGGACGAGAGGAAGGTCACCATGGCGACCAAGAAGGCCCCCGGCAGCAGCTCCTTCCCGAGCCCCCATCCAGCCCACGTCCCACCCCTCACCCCTCGCCCTCCCTCCATCCTCACTCCTCGCTCCCTCCCTCCCTCCCTCCCTTCCTCCCTCCCTCCTGCCTTCTCCAGCCCCCTTGCGTCCTCTCTCCTCCCTCCCTCCCTCCCCCTTCCCCCTTCCTCCCGTCATTCATCATCCCTCCCTCCCTCTCTTCTCCCCTCTTCCCCGCGCGTGGGAGGCGAGGCAAGAAGGGGAGCGAGACGGGGGGGGATTGGACTAGCGGATGTCCTCCTGCTCCACCTCCCTCTCCTTTTCATCCTCATCCTCATCCTCCTCCTCATTTGCTACCCCTCTTGCTCGTGCTTCCTCTTCCTCCTTTTGTTCCTCTTCCTCTTTCTCATCCTCCTCATCCTTTTCCTCCTGCTGCGTCGGTACGTCTTCCTCCTAGTCCAGGGCCAAAAATGCAGGATATTATATAGACACCCAGCGTGAATGTGGTGCCCCCAATCACTCATTGCATCACTGTTTGTTTCAGTGCCCTATCTCGCAGGAGGAGCGAGATAGAGCACTATCGCCAGGGGAGCAGGATCTCATCCTTCAAAGACAAGATCCGCTCCTGAAATTCGGTTTCCAAATCAGGCCTGATTTTAACGTTTGCCCCCCGAGCGGAACAGGGCTGACGAATTGCCAGTTTTGGTGTGCTGACCCCGACGTTAGCCTGGAGGTAGCTTTCTCGGGACCTGTTTACGTTGACGGCAGCTGCGACAATTCGAGACACCCAGCTTTCCAGTCGGCTGGTTGGGCCGTTGTCAGCATGCGAAACGAGGAACCCTTCGCGATTTGGTCAGGCCAGGTGGGCAACCCTTACACCCAAGGCTCGGGTGTGGCGGAGATGATTGCAATCATAGCTGCGTGCACCATCTCGCCCTTAGTTACCCAGGTCCACACGGACTACAAAGAACCTATTCGTGGTGCACGTTTATTTGCACCCTATGCCGAGTCAGGGCCAAGACCCAGGACCAGTACCTCAAGCGCCTGGAAAAAGAATGTCCTGGGCTTTGTGCGGGCCTAGCCTCGCTTACGCAAAGGCCCAGAGGCCATCAACTCTTGATTCTTGAGTACGTGAACAATTCCAGCAATATGATTTTGTGTAGCTCCTGCGGGTCATATTCAGAAACAAGCACCCGCGGCCGTTCATTTCTAGAGTGTCCGCGGGAACTTGCGTCGAACAGCTCAAGAAGCCAGCTAGCCCGCGCTCTGGAGCTGAGACACCCGAGGAGTGGAAAGGATTCCGCCCCCGTTGTTTCGCCTCCAGAGCCACTTGAGCAATTTTATCGAAGAGCCGTCGCTGCTGCGCAGCAAATGCCCAGCGAGGCAGATCAAGACCAGGTGCAGACAGGCCCACACCAGGGGTGAGGCCTGCCCATCGTCCTGGCGTTCTCTACACCAGGGATGGGCAGTGCCAAGTCGTCCTGGCGTCGTCTCACTCTTTGTGTACTTGTGCGTATGTGTGTGCGCGCTCCCCGCACGCGTGTCAGGCACCCCGCTTCAGGGGGAAGGAGCGCCCACCCATTTTCTTGCGGCATTGGCCGCTGACACGCCTTGGCGCGTTGCAGGTTCGATCTGGGGTTTTGATCTCGTGTCCCTGGCGGTGCAAGTTACGCAACCTGCCTTTGTCCCGAGCTTTGGGGAACCGACAGCTTGTCGAGTTATGCCGTCCTTTTCACTGCAGTGTGATTTGTTTGGCGATCTTGTGTTGTATGTGTGCGCGTGCGTGGGTGTTTTGCACGCGTGTCAGGCACCCCGCCTCAGGGGGAAGGAGCGCCGCACACTTCGTCTCCCCTCCTGTCTTGACGGTGCTGGTTACGCAGCCAACCTTGTACCCGAGCCTTGGGGTACCGTCATGCAGGAGGGATCCCACGGGGGCCCTGAGCACGGGGGTGGACAGGGTTGCCTGCCCGCTCCGACCGTGGCTCAACCCCCCTCTCGGTGCTGCTGCGACCCAGTGTGCAATGCCACACCAGGCCCCAGCACCGCATTCAGCGTCGGCAGCGCACTGCCGTCTCAGCGGCCGAGGCCGCTGTGGAGCACATCAGGTGGCCCAGTGCCACGAGGTTTCGGGTTAGGGTCGGGTCGGCCAACCCCTAGCCTCTTCCTTAGCCAGGTGATGTGATGGTCCTCCTCCTCCTTCTTCTCCTTGTGCCCATCACTATGTCTTTGATGCTATCATGGCTGCTATCATTCTTCTTCCCATTCCTGAAGCAGTGTATGCACTTATGGGGTTCTTACTTGTCACTTGTCTACTAAGGAACTGGGCCTGCGGGCCGCTCTGGCCGCCATGTGGCCGCTTCGCCGCCTCGTCGCCGCCCGTCGTCTGAGCCTGACTGTCGGTTCCGCCGCCTCGTGGGCGCCATCGCCGCACCGTGGCCACAAAGATTGCACCAAGTAGATTCCCCTGCCTGGAACGAAATTGTGATAAAACGAACTTGGGATCTACCACCCCCACCCACCCCTGAGTTATTGGTTCCCCCGTGGGAAATACAATTAACATAGTACTCAGCACCATCGTTCATCTAGGGCTCCCAACTTCGCGCTTCGCGCTGCGCGAAGCGCGAAGCGCGAATAACTTCGCGCTCTCGCGCCGCCCTCCCAAAGGGAGAATAGGAGGACGAGGAGGAGGGGGAGAAGGAACGAGGACCGCGAAGCGCGAATAACTTCGCGCCCTCGAGGGAGCCCTTGCATCGTTCATGGTAAATATGAACCCGTACAATCCCAGGGGGACCCAGCGTCGACCCCCCAGCATCCGCATCCCTACCAAGTAAAACTGTGCGCGCGCCCGTTTACGACACAACAAAAGTGTCCACGAACCCCTTTGCACGACATGAAACCAGGTCCACACGCGCGCGTCGTCGCGCGCGTGCCGAAGTTACTCGAACACCTAAAGTTGCTTGACAATGCCAAGATCGAGCTCCCACAAACATACGAACCACCCGCTGTTTTGCAACCGGATTCGTCAAACAAATACGCGCGCGCATTTTAACGATTGCTCAAGAACATCATGGGTCTTTCAACATGTTCACCAAATGCGACCAAGCGGGCTTCTCGCACGCGTATGCAGAAATCATTCGAACGCCCCTGCGCGCTTGCTGAGCGGGGCACGATCCTCATCAAGTAACACCATGAGGGCCATTCGCGCCGGTCGGCCGCGCGCGCACGTCCAAATCTTTCCAAGACCTTCATAGCGACACGTGGACACCATCATCGTCATCGGCATGATCACCATCGGTACTGGCATTGGCCGCGCCGTCGTCGTCACCACCGTCACCATCACCACCACCGCTACTATCATAATCGTGTTTGCCAATGCCGACGTCGCCACGATACCGCGCCCGCCCGAGTTACCGACTCGCGCTGAAGTGCCCGCGCGCCAGCGCGGCCTGCGAGACACGCTGGGCGGTGACCAACGGTCAGCACCACCGCGGCCGCGTCGGTCGCGCCAAACTAGCCGGCCGCTCTGCGCGCGAGCCTGCGCGCGCTAGCGCGGCCGCAGGGATACAACAGCCAGCACCAAGCACTCATCGCAATCGCCCCCTCATGGGTTTTGCAAACCAAGTTGCAGGTGGGTCGGTGGGACGTTTGCACAAACAGTGGAGCTGTCAACTCCAAATTGCCCAACATGAACTGCACTATGTGGACTGTGGACTGCACCACATGAGTTGCACCGCGTAGCTTCTCCATTCGAAGAAACACGAAATCTCTCCCCCCAAGGACTTATCGGTCCCCTTGGGGATGTGCAGTTTACATATGGTTCTGCCCCATGGTATATCCTAAATATGAACTCGTATCATCCCGGCCAGGCCGGTATCCGGTATCCGCCCCCTCATCCTCTGCAAAAAAAAACTATGCGCGCACACTCGTTTATAAATCGCCGGACAGCTCGCCACTTGGCCCTCCGCCAGCCCCACGCCAAGGGGCCAGCATATATACGGGCGCAGCACTGCGCTGGATGCGATGGACTCGGCTGGGCCAGGCAGGGGGAGACCCAATACTGCATCCAATGTCGAAGGTGATCTATATTCGAACGCTGTGGCTGCATGGTGCGCCCCGAACCCCAGACCAACGAATTGAACCTCAACCCAATGTCGAACGTGATCCATATTTCGACGCTGTGTTTGCACGATGCGCCCCGAAACCCATACCAACGAATCCGCCGATCACGCCTGACCGCCCGTGCGTGGCACATGGTGCTGCGTGGTTACGTACGGAAAGTATCCCCACCGCCCTGGCTTAAAACTGCAAGCGAAATATCCCCACACCCCTCGCTTAAGACTGCCAGCGAAATATCCTCACCCCCTGGCCGAAACCTGCCAGCGAGATATCCTCACCCCTGGCCCAAAACTGCCAGCGAGATATCCTCACCCCCCTGACGTAAAACAGTGAATGCAATTTCCTCACAGCTCTCAGCGAAATATCATCACCCCTGGCTTAAAACTGCCAGCGAAATATCCTCAACCCACTGACTTAAAACTGCCAGCGAAATATCGTGACACCCCTCGCTAAAAAAATCCAAGCGAAATGCCCTCACCCCTTGGCCTAAAACTGCCAGCGAAATATCCTGACACACACACACACACTCCGCAAACAAAAAAAACTGCCAGCGAAATATCCTCACCCCCTGGCGTAAAACTGCCAACGAAATATCCTCACACCCCCTGACTTTGAACTGCCAGCGAGATGCAATCCCAGGCCGAAAGCTTTTTCCGCTTGGACTAAAAATATGAAACCACCCATGGATCAATTTGGATCCCTTTTCGGGTGTGGGCGAGTTTCGTGGATCCTGTTTCTGTGTGGCGCGGATCAACTTTCCTGTGTGAAAAAGACGATGGGTCCATTTATTTCCCGGGAATAAATCTGTAATAGTAATTAACATCTGGGACCCAGGGAAAATGGGATCCGCGGAGCACCACAAGTGAAGGATCATGCTATCCACGGAGCTGCGGATCTGCAGACCAAT